AGAGTACTTCAATCCGCTGTAATCTTGAGGCACGAGGTAGCCTCTATTGTTTGGAATGATCTCAGTATGGATCTCTTCTCCATTAACGATTGCCAATATAAATAAACTGTAGTGAAACCGTTTTAGAATAATCTATATTATACCCATTCGTTTCTCACAAAAAAAAACCAACATTCAAACCATACAATAAACTCTTCATTTATCCTTTTCAATCATTCATCGGAAAGCTCAATCAATTTTGTTTTATAATATATCTAATAACTGGAATAAAAACATTTCTTACTGCTCCAATATTTGATAATGAAAAAGTTCCTCCTGTCAAATCATCTGTTGATAATTTTCCAGCTTTTCCAAGCTGTTGAAGACGATTAAGTTCATTGGAAATTTGATTTATTGATAATTGTTGAACATTTTTAATATTCGGTACTAATAATCCATCTTTTGTATCCATTGCAATGCCAATATTATGCGAACCCTTTTATTTAATAAAATCTTATTAAAATAAAAGTTTATTTATTTATTTATTTTTTGTTAATCATACTTTATACGTAATATTTTCACATTTTGAATCCACATATGCATTAAGAATTGGATAATTATGTAAAGCTTGTGAACATGCTTTAATTATAAATGGTAAATAAGACATTTTAATATCTTTATTTTCTTTTTTTAATTGTTTTCTTAATTTAACTAATTGTGTCATATCATATTCATCAGAATATGTAAAATGTGGTACGGAATTTGCTTGAGTCATTGTTTTAACCATTGCTTTACGAATACCTTTTATTGGTTCATTTCGATCTGCTACTGGAGTTGTTGATGGTGGTTGAAGTTTTATTGTTGGAGTAGTTTCTTTAACTGTTGGTGGTGATGATGGTGGTGGTGGTGAACCTTTTAAGAAATTAAAAAGAATAAATTTTCAGTTTTTGTTTTCTGTCTTAATATATAAAACAAACTAATTGGAGCAGCAGCTTTTGATGGTGTTGATGTTTCAGATTTATAATTTAATAAATCTTCTTTTAAAATTCTTCCATCTTTTCCTGTACCTTGAACATCATCTAATGAAATCTAATTTTAACAAAAACCGTAGAAGTATCATTAAAATGAAGAAAAAAAAACAATTTTTTTCTTCTTTATTTACTTGTAATTCTTTAGCGAATCGTCTAACTGCAGGCGCAGCTAAAAGATTTGATGATGGTGTTTTACTTGATACTTCAATATTCGGTGGTTCTTCCGGAGTAACAGTTGCAGCTTAATAAAAAACTAAATTTTGATTTAATTTATTTAAAAACTTAATTATTTACTTTTAGTTCCAACTGGTACATCAACTCCTTCTTCAAGTTTAATATCAACAAGTGGTTCACCAACTATAGCTGTATCACCAACTTTATAATAAATTTTAGTTATTTTTCCATCATAACGGGATGTTATTGTTACATTTGCTTTATCAGATTGAACTTCGCAAATTTTATCAAATTGTTTAACAGTATCACCAACTTTTGTATACCTGAAGAATTTGTTTTTTTTTCTTGTTTTTTATTTAAAAGAAAATTTAATATGAATAAACAAACCATTCTTTAACTTCAACTTCACGTATACCTTCACCAATATCAGCTAATTTAAATGGAACAACAGATGATAATCGTGATAATGATAGTGAAAATGAACGACAACCAAAATGCTAAACATCGAAATTTAAATATATATAAAGTTTTTTTTCTTTTTTTAATAGAAAATTTACCAATGTGGAATTGTTTATTGCTGAAATTGGAACATTAGTTGTTCTTTTTTGTGATATATGAATAAAAGAAGCAACTTGATTATACGAAGATGAAGGCCGTTTAAGCATACGCAAAGAAAATGTAGCACATCGAAGTGCTGCATTGTTATATGCAGAGCGAGTTAACATCATTCTCATAAATCTAAAAAAAAAAGCTTCTTGTTATTAAATAACAATAAAAAAAAATTAATTAAATAAAATCTTTTAGGAAAACAAGAAAAAATGAATTGAATACAGACAAGATCTAATGAACAAAAAATAAAAATAAAAGAACTCCCGATCCACTCGGAACGAGTGTTAAAAGTTGTAGAACAAAATAATATTTTATTCGTCTTTAAATGATCCATTGAACTTTCATTTTATATTATTTTATTTAGTTTTATATATACTTTGAATTTGTTTAAAAAGAATAACCTAACTAAGAATAATTAAATAGTATATTCTATTTTTTTCTGTCAATAATAAATCACGTGGGTTTCATTATCTAGATGTCGCCATAGATCATGTCAATGAAAGTTTATTAAATTTGTAATAATAAATCAATCTATAATCCATGATAAAAAAAAAGATCTTATTGATTCATAAAATTTGAAATAAAATTCTTTGATAAACTTAAATTTAATTAACATGATTCTACAAATCTTTGAAATGATTTCTATACACTTTTAGTAATGATCTTGTATCAATATAGTTTGTTGATTGATATGATTGTCCAAGAATATGACTTAGGATTTCTCTTCAAATAATATTAATCTTTCTCAAATCATCACTTGAAAATTCATTCAAATAATAAAATAAAAATAAAAAACTATGATGATTGATTTCATTAACCAACATGGAAACCATCCTGTTTTCCTGTGTTTGATCAAAGCGAATATAATTTAATCATGAATGCATGTTAGTCAAGACAGATTAAGATCTTTTTTTATCGTTCTATCAATGATAAATTGATTTTGAATCTTATTTTTCATGTAAAAAATATAGCTTCTAGATAGGAGAAATTTACGCAAATATTCACGAATAGTTGACGCTAAGAATACAAATAAAAAATTATTAAATGTAACATGAATGATTATGAGCGTTTTTAAATACTATACAAACAAAATGTTCAAATGCAGCTAAAGAGAAATTTTATCATTTATTTGTTGTTTGTTCTAGATGGATAAATATAAAAGAAATTATGTGAATTATCGATCTTATGTTAAAGATCATCGTCAGACTTGATACAACTTCATAAATATATAACAACAGAATAAACCTTGACCAACATCTATCACCTAGAATATCATCCCATAATTTACGCTCACATTGCCTGCTTATATTATAATGTAATGTGTATGATTAATTTAATTTCTTTTATATTTATTCATTTAGAACAAACAACAAATAAATAAGAAAATTTCTCTTTAACTGCATTTGAACATTTTGTTCGTATAGATATCTACATTAAGCATTTGCCGGTGAATTCACATTAAACATGAGACCTAAAAGAATTCGATGTCAAACTAAAAGAACGCTATCAACCCATATAAGAAAAGCAATCTATAAAATAGTCTACTAAAGCACCTTAATCGTACAGTTGTGAACTTTCGTATCGATTCAAGCTTAAGTTGAATAAAAGTATGGGTGAAGAGAAAACTCACAGGAGAGCACATACACCTACCACGAATTCTTATTATATATAGTAAACGATGTAAATATTATCATGACTCATTATATGGATAGTTGTCTGTTTCAAGTTTTAAAGTTGATACAAATGTTAAATATCCAGTTGAGTATGTTTCTTAAAGTAAGAAAAAAAAACATATTTGATAGAAAAAATATTTTTGTTTTTCTTCTAGTGATCCTATTATGGCTTCATACCAGAGATGTCCATCGCGGCTGAAAATCTGCCGCTGCCGCGCCGCGACGGTTTATAAAAAAAGTCGTCGCGGCGCTGCCGCGGCGCTGCCGCGCCGCGATGGTCTATAAAAAATGTCGCCGCGGCGCTACCGCGCCGCGACGAGTAATAAACTTGCCACTGCCGCACCGCTGCCGCGATGGTTTTCAAAAAAGTGTTTCGAATTTCACTACAGCAACTATATGGGACGAGAAATATTGGTACTAGTTCCTCAGATTCATTCAGTCTCAGAGTGTTTCCTTTGTAAACAATGAAATTCTATCAAATTCATGCAGTTTTCCAATGTCCTCGAAAAAAATTCTGTCGCTGTCGCCCCACTGCCGCGGTGAATTTTTAAAAACTTTGCCGCTGCCGCGTCACTGCCGCGATGAATTTTTGAGAAACCTGCCGCTGCCGCGCCGCCAACCGCGGCCGCGGCGGCGGCGCGATGGACATCTCTGCTTCATACTGTGCATCGATCACAGATTCATGTCAAGCTCATTATGATTTAGTATTCTAACTTATTGTGATAGTGGATGGTTTGAAAAGCATCCATCATGTGCAAGATTTTTATCTTATAATGACTCAACTAAAATTGAATTAAATGATGCGGTTTTTTCTTAATAACTTAATTGTTGTTTTTCTGTAGGTTGTAGAAATTTTGATGACGAACATCGATCGTCATTACTATATAATAACGATCTTGCTAGATCTAATGCTTATGGTTTTTTCCTTTTGTTTGTAATGCCTGTTGAGCATTTTGTACGTGAAGCACTGACGTGTAAACCACGCAATAGCTTTCAATAGGTGATAGATTCGTTGAAACTTATTGAGAATTTCCATTTCTTGATTGTTGCTCTCGTATTCTTTTTGACAACATATGACCAAATCTTTGATGATTTGTTGGTCATGTTCCATCTCAGAAAATTCTCCAAGAAAACAATCTAAATCGTCTCAGCGATGAAAAACTTTCAATGTTATCCTTTTTTTCTCGTTACAAGGAGCTGCATGAATGAACATCCACATGACATTTCAGATATTTGTCTGTTTTTTTCTCTGTCGGAAGTGACTATCCTATAATGAGATGGAAAAAAGTCTAAATAGCAAAAACAGATAATTCGAATTACAAATCCCTGTATATTCCTCTCTCATTCTGCTATCATATATACACACACACATATCTGACGTTATTAGACCTTGTTCGTGCTATCACGTGTTGCACGTGATCGATGTTTTTGTGAATAATTAGCTTACGGCATTGCGGCCAATTGTCACAATCCACAGAACCAGTTCTTTCATCACAAACCAGTTCATAATGCTCGTCATGTATCAACAGCTCAAATGGTTAGTAATTCGTTAAATTTAGTCAATGACTATTTTTATGATTCAACTACTCATATTCATTATAATGCTAACAGAAATCTTTTACAAAATAATATTCAAGCACCATCATCTCCAATTAATATTCAATCTATTGATTCACCTGGTAGATCCATCAGACGCGTACATTCTGAAGATCATGATGAAGATTTTACAACGGTCACATACAAGAAAAAAAAAGAATAATAATAATATGATGATGCTTAACAAGAATCAGCTGAACTAAGATCACCAACAATCTGTTCGTGTCAACAACAATTATCAATCTTAATATCAATCTCACAACCACCGCATTATAACTAATTCCAATTTGATTCACCAAAAAGCAACGCATGATTTCTCCCAACACCATCTTGATATTCCCATTGCTGCAACATGTTATGCTCAAACCAGATTTCCTTTTTCATCATTTATTATTCGCTTTTCAGCTGGAAATGTCAAGGACAAACAAGCTTCTGAAGAGATCACCTTATTTTTTAAAAATCAACATCAAACTGATATTTTATTTTCTAACTATAGATCATCAACTTCCAAAAGCTCCCCCAATGAATATGATATTTTGCTGTTTGTCACAGATGCTAATTCATTTATTAGTTTATACGATGAAGAGAAATGGCCACCACAAATCGGCTCTCAACATTATACATTTCCTTCGTCACCTTCTATTCCACCTCAATTATCATTGATTATAAAAAATGTTGATTTTCATATTGATATGAATGATTTTATTGGAGATCTAAAAGCTAAATTTCCTGATATTAAGAATGTTATTAGATTAAAAAATAAATTCTAACAAAATATTAAAATTGTTAAAATTGAATTGCTGTCAACATTAACTCGTGAACAGATTTGAGCTTCTGGAAAAATTAATATTCACTATAGATCATATGATGTGGAAGATTATATTGCTCCTGCGAGGGTCCTCATCTGCAGCAAATGTTGTGGAATTGGCTATTTTAAACGCCAATTTACCTACTCCAATGAAACATGCAAAACCTGTGGACAATCCTTCCCGGATTTAAAACAACACCTATGCTCAAGTCAACCGAAATGCATTTATTGCGGTGGTGAGCACTTTTCTAATGTGATTAGCTGCCCGGTAGTGGAACAATTTCGTGCTGCATTAACTAAAAAACTGTCTTCTTCTCTAATCGTTTTCCATTCTTCCATTTAGATACGAGAAAAACCTTACAAAAATTTAATGAAATTGTCAATGGCCTACCAATTTCTACGGAAACAAAGAAGCAAATATACAATATCATCTTCCAAATAGTCAAGAGAAATTAGAGTTGGGATGGTGCTATCGATCAGCTACGTCCGGTATGCATTACATTAAATAAAAATGAAAGCAAAAATACTCCATCAGTTGATATTTGTCAAGATGTTAAAGCTACCCTCAATATAATTATTGATGATTTATGGAGTCTGGCAGAAGAGGATCAATTCATCGAGTTGCAACAAATTACCGGTGGGATTAGAAAATTATTTATTATGTTATTCGAAAAATTAAATAAAACCCAGGATAAAGGTAATGAATATTGCAAACAATTAAACGATATGAAAGACGAGCTTCACAATTCCGTCCTTTCCAAAGGAAATCTTCTGCTGAGTTTATTAGCAATACAAATATTAATAAAAATTGGAAAATTCTTGAACAGAAATGAATCTCCATTTAATGGAACTTTTCGATCATTGTCTGAAATCAATAATCTGAACAATATTGAATTATTCAAATTCTTTTTAAGTCAACACGGCTACGATTGGCCAGAAATACGAAAAACCCTCAAGATGCTCAAGTCGAATAGATTAACCATCGCTCATCCTGGTGATGAAAATACCAGTGCAAAAAACATCGAAGATGCCATCAATACATATTTTCCAGACGTGTCTTCTCCATTTCATATCAAAGCGATGCAAGCCTTGAAACTTTTACAATTACTTGCTATAGAATTACAACAGCCATTATTTATTTCAATAACACATTGAGATAACGAAAATAGCTTGAAGGACATTTCATTAGTAACATGTACGTTTGAAAAAAAAAGTGATGTAAATTTTAAATAAATTCGACAATATCATGTGAAATTTTGCTTTTTATCATGAAATAGAAAGTGCAAGGGACAACTAATCAATCGATGATAGATCAGTTCATTTCTGAACTGAACTTGAAGAAAAAAAATAAAAAAGAAATTTGACTTTGAATAACATAAGGTAATCAATGACAATCAGACAGGAGATAGGATAGATGAAAATGAACGATCAATATTAAATCTAAACAAATTGAATTAATTTTAGATTTTTTAGGAACTGGATTGGTTGAAGATGAAAGACCAAATATCGGTGGCGGTGAGACGTTCAACATATCAATGACAGAGGTTAATGGTTGAGCATTTGAGTTATACAAACTGATTAGATTAATCGCAATTCGTGTCCGATCCTCGATCCGATGGAGTTGAGAAAGTTTGGATTACCTGAAAGTTGAAAAAGGAATGCATCATTTCCATATATTTGATGATAATTTGTACAGAGAGAATCGTCAACATTCGTCTGAAGATTGGTATTACTATGATCAACAAATTGAATCTGTTTTATTCGATACTTCATTTTGATTGATATTCATTGAAGAATTGCTTCTTTTTAAACAAACTTTTGATTTTCATTGATCAAAAATTAATAGATTGAAGAATTGTGATACCAATAAAGAGTAATCGATTGTTTGGATTTTTTTTCTCCTTTTTGATATTCTTCGATTTATCTGTCAACTTCTTTCTTGTTTTTTCTCTTCCAAGATATCCAACGAAATAATAAAAATAAAACATTTGATTTGTTTTTCTCATATTTTCATTATTTTGATATTCGTTCCAGAGGAATGATCAAATCATTATCAAAAGAGAATATTCAATTGAACAAGGTGCTGATCTTTATTTCTTTGGTAAGATGATTTTATTTTGTCCTTCAATCAATGTTTCTTTCAAATCCATTAGAATTGACATTGAAATACAAATTTTATTCGATTATTGAATAGTTATTTAAATCTCATTTTATTCAATGTGTGAACATATTTCAAGTAAACGTCTTTCTCCATCATCATTATTATTATAATGATATGAAAACCCAAATAATGAATGTCTTGAATCTTGACCAAAATTGTTAACGGTTGACTAGATGCAATGATATTTGATGGATATCCATGATAAACAATTCAATTAAATGATGATACTTTATTGGTTTATTGTCCAGATAATTCTTCAACCCAGAATCATTTCAATATTTATGAAAAATTCTTCAATTTATTCTTAATGAGAAATGGATTGATGTAGAATTATTCTTAAATGAAAAGTTTTTTTAATCAATCTATTGATCAATCTGTTAGAAATCTTTTTCATGACTTCTTTTCTCAATTATCTTGAATAAATTCAATGTTGAAGAGGATTTTATTTTGATAATTCTTTTTTCGATAAGAACATATTTAACAGATGAAAATATTGAATATTAAAGAACTTATTTTTCATTTTATTTTGATCAATGAATTATTTATCGAATCAAATGAACAGGAAATGAAAGAGATTTTTTTATTTTCTTAATTGATGTTCTTTTTCTCTCTTTAATCAATTGTGTTTTATGTCCTTTTCAAGCCGACAAAAACATCTAATAATTAATCGATGAAAGGGCGAGGGCGGATAAGGCCATTTTTTTGCCCCCAACGAAATTAACTTCTTTTTATCGATTTGAAGTAAGACATGGCTCCTGATGATATTCCATAGGTCTTTTTTTGTATAGCTCACCAAAAGGTTTTTGGGACCTGTGGTCCCCTACAGGGATCTCTGGAAAACTTTTTATTTTTGATTCTGATGAAATACATATTTATTAGTAGAATTAAGTATGCTGGTTATGAATATCAATGTATTAAGTGCTCAGAGCTTTTCATTAAATAAAAACCCAGCTCTTTTTAAGTCACTCGTATGGCTCTATACCTCAGTTTTTGGCTCTGTCTCTTCTTCATTTTTTATTGTAACCAGATGAAAAAACATCCATTATAGCTAAAACAACATGATCTTATCGAATATGAACTATAAAAAATCCTTCAGAGCATCATCGACTACAAAACTTAGAAATACTGGTCAAAAATTTGCTTTTCTCTGATTTCCTTAGAGATTGAGGTTTCCAAATGTTTTGATAGCAAATTGGAACCAATGTGAAATCGGGGCTGAATACCTAATTTTGGATACTCTATCCAATAGTGAATTTAAAAGTTCCAAAAAACTTGTGCGTCGAGATTTTTGAGGATTTTCTGGAAAACCTTTTCAAGATCCCAACCGATTCAATAAAATCTAACGCCACCATCGTGTTCAGCACGTCAAACAACCTACTTCAAACATTTTAAACCTTCTCGAAACATTGAATAGATAATCTTTTAACGTCTTCATTTTTTTTGAATTTAGTTATATTATGTATAGGGCTAGTTATAGATTTGTATATCCTGATTCGACGTATTAGAAATATTTGGATTGCCGAAGAACTGTGTACAAAGGTTATTTGATGTGCTGAACACGAAGGTGAAGTTAGTTTTTATTGAATCGGTTGGGATCTTGGAAAGGTTTTTCCAGAAAACTCTCAGAAACCTCGACGCACAATTTTTTTGGAACTTTTAAATTCACCATTGGATAGAGCATTCAAAATAAGGTACTCAGGCCAGATTTCACATTGGTTCTAATCTGCTATCCAAGCTTTCGAAAGCTCAGATATTCGTAGATCTCAGAGAAAAGCAGGGTTTTGAATGATAATTCTAAGTTTTATAGCTGAAAATGGTCTAAAGGAACTTTTCTTGCTCATATTAGAAAAGACCACATTGTTTTACTAATTATGAACATTTTTTTAAGAGGTTAGAGTAACGATTAAAGGAGGTATAATGCCAAAAAATTTGTGTATATAGTCAAATGAGTATCTGTAAAAAGGCTGAGTTTTTATTTAATGAAAAGCTCTGAGCACTTAGTATGTTGATATTCGTAATCAGCACACTTGATTATACCAATAAATACGTATTTCATCGGAATCAAAAATAAAAAGTTTTCCAGAGATCCCTGTGGGGGACCACAGGTCCCAAAAACCTTTTGGTGAGCTATACAAAAAAAGACCTGTGGAATATCATCAGGAGCCATGTCTTACGTCAATTCGATAAAAAGAAGTTAATTTCGTTGGGGGCAAAAAAATGGCCTTATCCGCCCTCGTCCTTTCGACTCATTGTGGATCAATGTATCTCTCTATCGAAAAATAAACATAATAGCAGATGTAACGAAAGCTAGCGTTCAAATAAAAATTGAAAAAGATTGTGCCATAAGCTCTTGTTTTTTCATTATCCGCTTGAATGGCAAGATGAAGCTTGCGAAAAATTTATATAACTAAATACTATTTGACACCTCTTACAATAAAAAAAGACTTCTTATTCTAACCCAGTCCCAAAATAAAATACTGGTATCTTGAATGATACAATTAGATGAAAAAAAGCAAGCAGTTATAAACACTTGACATTGAAATATTAGTCATCTACATAAAAAAATATAATTTTTGAATAACCTAGAAAAACCGAAAAATTTTTCGGTAAACCGCGGTATACCGGTAAATCGCATAATGAACCGCGGTATCAATTAAAACCGGCGGTTTACCGCAAAAAATGATCCGGTATTCGTGACATGGGTTTTATAAATGCATTAAATAGTAAAATAAAAGTTTAATACTAGACAATAGCCGTATGAGAAAATAATAGAGAAAATTGAATATATCTGTATTTTTTTT